AAAGGGGTCTACTTATCCCCTACAAACTAAGTCATCCCGCTTCATACAAGTTCATAACGTCATCGATATTGCCATAGTGGCACCGAGCCACCAAGTGTTCCAACACACCAATATTACAAGGGCACGTGCATCCGGCCCGCCTCTCTCTAGGTCTTAAACTAAGGCCATATATATCACTCACTAATCACGACACTGATAACATAAGCACAATATTAGACTTGGATATGATCACTAAGCTCGCATATGGTGGATGGGGAGTGTTCCAATACTTGCACTAGCTTCCTATAACCTCATGGTAACACACCCTAAATGACCTGTGGTATGGGGGTATATATAGCTCCTCCAACGAAATATAGTTGTCGGCAAAGGTTGACAAAAATTGCACTTATGATCGAAAGAGTCTGGTTCGTATTTTTGCCATCAGCGGACCATCAAGTGAATACTAGCCATTGCCCTACCGCTAACGTCTTTCGTCTAGTGATGTCCCGAACCGTTAAGTGAGTATAAGTGCATAGTGTACACATCTCTATTGTCACTAGACGAAGACAAAAAGGCCAATGTTTTGTTTCTCTATGTTAGCGGATCATCCAGCGAAGAATAATCCTTGGAACCCTTAATCTTTGTCATTATCGTTGGACGATCGATGGTTAGGTGAGTTCATTTTCGTTGTTGTTGAACCGTCCGATATAATCATTGTTTTTGTTGTTCTTTTTTATTTCATTTTCTAGACTTCGCACCACTTCCTTCCTTGCATCTGTAGCGGAGCTTCAGCATAGCAAGGTCTGGCCACCGCCACACCTTGAGTATGCCATATGTTGTACTAGAGCATTTCAGTTCCATTAGCCTAGGTACCGTGGACTGCAGCTCATTGTTCCGTTTGCTAGCTATGCAGCTATGCCATATCTTATTTTTCATCGGTTCTCCGCCACCGTAAATAAATCTGTCTAACGCATCTTGCCACACATGTTCTTCTTATGGATCATGTATGTCATTTAGTCACCCAAACGATCGATTAAAGTCATGGCATAGCAACCATGTTCACTAAAGAAGGATAGCTTGCCAAACCTTCAATTATTTCGACACCACTACTTGCTCTGCTCTGGTTACCTGAGGCTGAGAGCAGTCCATGTCCTCTAGTAAGTTGGTGACCCACTATTCTCCAGCCTCCAGGAGAGACTATAATCTCAGAACGTATATGTTTTCCACACATGCTGGAAATTGGAAAACAATATGCTGGTTCAGTTCACCCGAGCTTTCCCATCAATAGGCATCAAAGCAAAAGGAACAAAGGAACATAAACCTGCAGAAAAAACCACAGCACGAGTCCAGTCCAGCACTCCAGCCTGACATGACCATACAGGAGATCAAAATTCCAAGTTTTCTTCTGTGATGTGCTAGGTAACTAATAGTATTAAATATCCCAAGACATTAATTACACAAAATCCGTAGACTATGCTCATACCTTTTTTACTCTTGGCCGGCCTTCAGCACCAACCACACACCTGTTCTAGTCTCAGCGTTAGTTCAGGAGTGAAGTGCACTAGTAGACAGGAAGAAAAGGAATGGGAAAGCTAGCTAGATTAGCTTACTAGCCCTCGTTCGTTGCTTGAGCCCGTGAAACTCTGAGTCTTGACCACGGGTCCGAGTCTGACGGGCGGAATTCCCCACGTTTGCATTAACAACGATCACGCATGGAGATGCAGATGCTAGCTTTTGGAACGGAGATAATTTTATCTCGTAAAAAAGCATGGCATTAGCCGCGACGCCAGGGCACTTGGGCACCATAAACTAACCACACGTCCACGCAGAAAGTGATGAGGCAGCCAGCCAGCGGTTCGCGGAGAGAGTTTCGTCTGTCTCCGCGCGCCGCTGTCCTTTGACGACGAGACGAGACCGGGCATGCATGCAAGAGGAAGCACGCGGGCAACTCGCAGTCTCTTGTTTTTTCTTGCATGTGTCCGTGCAAGACTGCAACGGGATTACGCAACGGTGACACAACCGGGCAGGCGGTGGTGCAGTAGTAGTGCAGTGCAGGACGCCAGGACGAGATGGTCACTGGGGCTAAGATTTGACGACACGAGCTGTGACAAAGAGACCTTTTGGTTCTCACTCAGGTGGGTCCAGGACGGCACCCACGCCGATGGAAGAAGAGCTATTGCTGATAGCCCCGTGCCAAAATGCGCACTGTTCGACGCCATGATATGGAAAGGTGGCGTTTTCGTTAACCAGAAGAGAAGATTGGGCCGTCGCAGCGAAGAATGGAAGAATAACAAACAAAGACAGACTCTCCGATGTCCAATCCTAATGCTGCCCAAGGATGTCGTCGCTTCTTGGAAACAAAAGCCCACTGGGCCGCCGCGCGCACCACCCCAGAACCAAAGTGGCCTTGCCGTCGAAAGTAGCGCGCTAGCGAGCAAGGGAAATAGCTGACATGCACTAACAACCATGACTGAACAGTACCGGATAAATAAAGAGGAAATAAATAGAAATTGACATGCACTAGGTAGAATCGTGGGTAAAACAAACATCCAAAGCCATCGGTAAGATTTTGTAAGAGTAGACATATATATCAGCCGTGTAAGGGCTAATTTGGAAACTCAAATCCCCATGTGATCCCTTACTTTTTTAGGGTGGAAAATTCATGGAGAAATAATTTAAATAATTATTTAGTTCTTTTTTGCAATGAATTATTTAGTTCTTTATGAAGAGCTTTTCACCCCTGGGTGTGCCTCCCCTTGCTTCCAAATTAGCCCTAAAAGGAGAGTGAAAGGAGATGCGTAGTGTTGCCTCATCCTGCGCGCTCAACTCTATGTCGGAAGTTTTAGCGATCGGAGGTTACGATGTACATCGGAAGGCCCAACCCACACTTTGTCATAAAGTACATCGGAAGTTCCGACTCACATTTTATCCTAGGGTATGTTGCCCCAAAAAAAATTATACGGTAAAGCCATTTAGCAATTCAGTAACAATTGTAAAATTTATGATATAATTCGATAACATGTATTAAATAACATGACTAATGATAAGCCTTAAATTTGAAGCTTTAAGTTAAAAACATCGATAAGTTATAATATAAAATAGTTTAAACACTATAATGTCTATCCAAAATATTATTAGATACGAAAAAAGAGGAAGAGACCTAGGATACCAATTATCCAAATTTTTTAGGCAACGCTTTCTAATGATATTAATGTCTCGATTATATCATCTTCATCTACCTCAAAGAAAATATCTCGCTCATTAAATATTTTTTTAGATGAAACAGGAGGGGTGAAAGCCCCTACTGAAATTTTATTGAAAATAAAACAGTTGATACAAAAGTTTGTTCAAGAAACAAAAAAGGAAAGAAAGAAAATGAGGCAAATTACACAGGGGCTTATAGCCAAAGAAATTACATAAAAGCGTCTAGCCATTGATCAATGAAAGGGTGATATTTTTCCTTTGCCCTTAGAATAACTAAGGCAAATTCCTTCTTACGTCGATGCAAGGAAGGAGCCATACCATTGAGGATACCATCATTTCGGATAGACCAGATGGCCCAGCACATTGTGATAATCACCTCCATTAAAAAGGGAATCTGAAGTTGAATCCTGAAATTCTGCAATAAACTTTCCAGGTCTGAAGTGTTGGGAACTAGCAAGTTCAAGCTAAACCAACAACTCACAGCGAAGGGACAATGGAAGAAGAGGTGGCAAAGATCTTCTTCAAAACCCAAAGAGTAGAAAACGCAAGAGTAGTCCTCAAGATACATATTCTTGCGCTTTAAAAGAGCTCTAGTACTCAATTTGTCCTTAAGAAGAAGCCAAAAGAAAAACTTTCTCTTATTTTGGCATGATGACTTCCACAACCATTGATAACCCTGGTGAACTTGACGGTGGCCAATCAAATGTTTATAGGTTCTGTTGGAGGAAAAGTTAGGAGAGCCCTCGCCGGCCTCCCGAGGAGTCCCGTCGTCGTGCGGCGGCTGTGGTTGTAGGCCTGCAGGCTGCAGTCCCTCCAACGTCCGTCTGATCTCGTTAGACTTCTGAATCCCTACGATTCCCGTCGTGTACTCGTGTGGCCAGGCCAAGACTTCATCGCGTGGGCCGTGGGCCTAGAAAAGTCGAAAGTGGAAATGCTGCAAAGCAGCCGCACGCTACAAGTCCACTAGCGGCAGCGTCCGTTCTCCGTTCAAGCTTTTTCATGTATTTTTTTTTGTTTTTTTACATACAAATATATACATGTATATATAGGTCGCCTTTCTCGGTCCTTCGTACTAAAAGTTTAACTTGATATAACTCTAAAAAGTAATTTATTTTAAGACAGAGCAAGTATTACATTACTGTTTTTTTATGCTCGAAACTAACTTTTTCTATCATCTTAATTAGGCTCTTAAATCGACATCCAACTGCGTACAAATTGAGTTGTTATTGTTCATTTAACTGGCATGCTTTGTCAAAAAAAATACAATTTTAGCACAATGTTATATTTTAGTATCTTGAGTTTGACCAATTATATAGATAAAAAATATCAATATTTATAATGATATCAAATAAATATCATTAGATTAATTACGAAATGTATTGCCATAATAAATTGATTTGGAGTAAAAAAATATGAATATTATGTACTAGAAACTTGGTCAAACGTAAATCATTTTAACCCATAATTTTATTCTTTTTAGTACAGAGGGAGTACTCTCAACTCTTTCATTCAAATAAAAAATAATAATAATGTTTTTTAAAGAGAGTGGGCACTTGCTCAACTGGGCAGAAGGTTCCATCGAGTGACACAGCCATTACTCACACGCCACGTCGTTAAGTGCACCATTCCTAAACTATCCTAGAGCTCGATCTCATAAACTATTCCTTTGGAAGTAAAAACAATAATCTACGCTTGCAGCAGTGTTTGCTATACTAGCATTCGTCTTGCCATAGGCATTGAAGCTACTATAGAGCGAGGTGCCTGACTGCCTGGTGCCTGGCGGCTGTGCGCCTGTGCCGTAGTCGACGCGAGGAGCAATGGAGGGCGGTGGGAAGTTAGCATACAGCTACGGCGGCGTGGAGCCCCGCAAGTTCGGGCTCGGCCTCGTCGCCGGCCTCCTCCTCGTATCCTGCGCCTACTTCTCCTCCATCAAATTCGACGCCGTCCACATCGTCATGAGCAAGCAACCGATTAAACCACAAGCATGTAAGAACCCATTCAGACCGAGCTCTCTCACTATCTGCTAAACTAATCCTTCATTTCCTAAGATTTGGATTCGGGCCTGCAAGATCAAGGTGCATGGTCGTCGAAGGAGGGGAGCAAGGCTGAGGTGCTCGAGAAAGATGGCGACGTCGGCAACGGCATTTCCTCTTTCGGGCAAGGTGAATCAGGCAAGCATCCATTTGGAGGTTAGATTATGCCACTCCATGGGGACCGAGCTGACCTCGTCTTTTGGTAATTTCGCTGGTTTGCAATTTTCCACGCAAGGTCGTGTAAGCTCTCTCGAGGAAAAGCAGAAAGATGAGACGTTTGCGGGGAATGGTGATGCCGCAGGCGTTGCTGTTGTCTCTGCGGCCCCACCGGATCTAGCAGAGGAGGGTGGCAAGGATGAGGTTCCTGAGAAGGATGATGACCCAAGTGCCGTTGCTGCTCTTCCTCCCTTGTCATCAGATTCCTCAGACAGCACGCAAGAATCAGGTCAGGAAGCAGCCAGCTTGAACTACCCAAAGCAAGCTTTCCTACAGGATAATTCTGTGACTTTGTTCTTACTTTCCTGGCCAGGTGTTCTTGAAGATCAGGAACTGCAGGTGCGGAATGCTATTGCAGCAGCTGCTAATCCACCCAAGGAAAGCAATAGTATCAGCAGCAACGACAACGGCAGCTCCTCTGAGACTCCGCCTGATCCAGCTGAAATCCCTGTTCCTGTTCCCTCTCCAGAAATTGAGCCCCCTTCTTCTGCTAACGAGATTTCTGCTACTTCTTCGGAGGTTACGGCCCCTCCATTTCAGATGACTCCACCTATTCCTGAGGTCAAGCAAACAGGTAAATGATTCTTATTTTCGTGGTCAAAGATTCCATTTTTCCTCTGACAGATAATTTATTAACCATTTTGTATTTTAATATTAACCATTTCGCATTTGGAGTCATCTTGCATTCCAGCTAGCCTGGCCAAATTTTAGCCTTCCTAAAAGAATTGCCACCATTTGGTTCCTACCAAGTTTTGGCTTTGGTTGGCCGGACAAACAAAGGAAAGGTGAAGTGAAGCTTACTAGCGAGAGTGACTGCACATAGTCCAACAGTTTTAGTAACAAATTTCAAATAATAATATCTCTTATTATATATATTCAGTTTCCAATCATTTTGCATTATAATGTTCCTTGTGTTGTTTGTCAACAAAACTAGGTCATGCATGTAGCATGTTAGATATCTTTTATGAAAAAAATAGTGACATATGTACCCATACCTCACACTTAGGTAGATTTGAGCTTGGTAACAATCCAAACACCCTTTTTTCCCCTCGATCCGAACGCCTTTTTGGCCATATTTTGGCCCCGCCTAAATTTATCATTTCCAAAATTTACTTTAGGATTGCTCATCGGTCACAGCAAAAACCAAATAGACTCGAAGACTTTAAGGATTATTAAGGGCCCATTTCGTTGCTGCCTGCCAAAAGATAAAAGCAGACAAACAGACTTCACCATAGGCCAACCAAATCGAACAATCTGAGAGTGTTTGCCTTCTACAGATGACATTTCAGTCGACCAACTAAACAGACCGTAAGACTCGATGCAAGAACAAATTGACTCCCACCTATCCCAGTTCTAAGTCATAAATTATGTACTCTTAGTCTTAGGTGCTAATAAAGTACATTTCACATGCAATTTGTAATGTTCTTACCACACAAACAATATTGCTCCTATAAGCAAGGTTTTTTTTATCGGCCGAAATTCAAGGAAATTTCGGTTCTATCCACAAGGTCCGATAAAAATTAATATCGATCAAATTTTTCTCTTCTTTCTTGCTCCCATACAGACAACCCAAATTCAGCCGCGCGACGGTCTCACACTTATAATGTTTTATTCTTGTTTTTATCTGTGAACAAGTGATGTTTAATAGCTTAGGAATAGTTTCAAGTCAAATTCTACAAAAAAAAATTCAAAACAATTTGAATTTTTTTTTTGAATTTGGTCCAATATTTTCGATATTTCCTGCTTATCCTATTAATCTATGACCTCGGATAAATTTTTATTTTCGATAATGAAAACCTTGTCTATAAGTTAAGGTCACAATTGTGAAGGGGTTTAGAAACCCGCCACCCATACAAGAAGTTTCCTTTTGCGTTCTAGGGCCTGTTTGATGTAGTTGGATTCGCATCAATCTACATGTGTTACGGTGGGGAAAAATCCATGTAAGACCATAACTGAGCAAAGTATTTAATCTAATGGTTGCAAGATTGGGAGGCGCCGGTGCGGGAGTGGAAGCCGCTGTGCGACCTGACGTCGAACTATCGCATCGACTGGTGCGAGCTGGAGGGCGACGTCCGCGTGGTCGGCTCCAACGCCAGCGTCACCCTGGTGGCGCCGCCCTCTGGTGCCGACAACCACACCTTTCACGAGGAGTCATGGAGCATCAAGCCGTACCCGCGCAAGGCGGACCCGAACGCCATGCACAGCGTCCGCGCGCTGACAGTGCGGTCGGTGGCCGCCATGGCCACCGCCACCGACGCGCCGCCGCCGGCCTGCACGGACTGGCACGACGTGCCGGCGCTGGTGTTCTCGGTCCGCGGGTACACGGGTAACTACTTCCACGCGTACACGGACGTGATCCTGCCGCTGTTCCTGACGGCGCGGCAGTACGCCGGCGAGGTGGTGCTGCTGGTGACCGACTTCCAGGCGTGGTGGGTGGGCAAGTACCTTCCGGTGTTCAGGAGCCTCTCCAACTACGCGCCCGTGGACCTGGACCGCGACCCGCGCGTGCGCTGCTTCCGCCACGTCCAGGTCGGGCTCACCAGCCACGACGACTTCAGCATCGACCCGCGCCGCGCGCCCAACGGCTACTCCATGCTGGACTTCACCCAGTTCATGCGCGAGACCTACGGGCTCCCGCGCGACGTCGCCCTCTCCCCCGTGGCGCCGGCGTCGCGGGATCAGCGGCGGCGGCGGCCGCGGCTCCTGGTGATCGCGCGCGCGCGCACGCGGCGGTTCCTGAACACGGAGGAGATCGTGCGGGGCGCGCGGAAGGTGGGGTTCGAGGTGGTGGTGTCGGAGGGGGCGCACGAGGTGGCGCCGTTCGCGGAGCTGGTGAACACGTGCGACGCGGTGGTGGGCGTGCACGGCGCCGGGCTGACCAACATGGTGTTCCTGCCCCGGGGCGGGGTGGTGGTCCAGGTGCTGCCGCTGGGCCCGCTGGAATTCGTGGCAAGCTACTTCCGGGGCCCCGCCAGGGACATGGGGCTGGCCTACCTCGAGTACCACGTCGCGCCGGAGGAGAGCACGCTGGTGGACCAGTACCCGCGCGACCACCCCGTGCTCGCGGATCCCATGAGCGTCAAGGCCAAGGACTGGGTGTCCTTCATGGGGGTCTATCTCTTCAAGCAGGACGTCCGCCTCGACATGAAGCGCTTCCGGCCCGTACTCAAGAAGGCACTCGCGCGGCTTAGGGCAAAGCCCAAGAATAACAACAACTAATCAATCACCTCATCGTCGCAGTGTAATTTTGGTACGGTGTACCTCCTGCTGTAAATCTTTGAACGGAGAGAGCTTTCACTTCTACTCCTACTATATATAGTTTTATATTACTACAAAAAAAATTCTTCTCCGTGATTGAGCCGATTGAGGTAGCCGCACATTTTTACCTTCTCTGGCACGTTACCATATGATTAATTGATTATGTACATGGTACTACGTACCCGAGTAATTAAAAAGCGCAGATAGGTCAACTTCCTACATGCTATACGTATAGTATTCGATCGTGCCATGTTGCTCCGCGGCAAACTTCTTATGGCCCCTGAAAGGAGAGAAAAAGATAGATTAAGAGCGTGTTTGGATCTATTAGCACTAAAAATTAGTAGCAGCTAACTATTAATTTCGTTATCAGGTTTTGAGTTGCTAATATGTCCTAATAGTTCATGCACCTTCAACTCAGTATCCAACCAGCTAATTTTTAGTGCTAATAGATTCAAACAGGTTCTAAGGTTGCTCATCTGCATTTCCACTGCAAAGGAACATGGGATAGGGCTGGTTCTAGAGATTTATCAGCACGTTGACCGTGATGCACGGCGTCGATAGCTACTTCGTTTGAATGATGCGATCTAGTGACTCAGAAGTATCTCTTGCGCCCAATGTCGCGCTCTGTGTAGTAGAGTATTCGAGGAGTCATCGTACAAGCAGCTCGCAACTATCGTAGATTACTCCTGCAAGGAGAATCTCAAGAAGCCATAGCCCATAGGCATTATACAGGGTGGATTCTCTCGATCCATCCGTTTTTATAATATGTTATGTGTACTCCATTTGATCCAAAATATATACTCTTTAAATTCCTAAATAAATTAATTTCTAGAGTTGTCTTAAATCAACCTTTTTAAATTTGACCAAATTTAATAAAAAATCATTCTAATTTATGACACCAAATTAGTATCATTTAGATATACCATAAACTATAACTTTTTAATGTGCTCGTTTGGTGTCACATATATTTGTATTTTTTCTATAAATTTGGTCAGATATAAATAAATTTTGACTTTAGACAACTCTAGAATAGATTTATTTAGAGACGAGGTAGTAGGTCATTGTAATTTTGCTCTATGTAATCTAATAAGTAAGTTCATAGAAAAAATACACCATCTTTAAGCATCAAAATAGTTTTGTTAATTCATAAAAATGTTTTGTTAAAATCCATCTGTTATGATCTCACGTGGCTAGATGGAACTTGGGATTGGGAATAGCAACATCAGGGGAAGAACAGGGAAGAACACGGCTGATTCTTTCTTTCTTTCTTTTTTGAAACAAAAACACGGCTGATTCTCGAGCCAACAAGAGCCGGCAACGAAAGCCGTTTTCAGTTACAAGAATGAGGTGCTTATGTTCATATTCCACCGCTGCGCAACTACACAGTCCACAGGCCACCCTCAGAAGCCCACTACCTTCACCCACTCTAAAGCCCAAAGCCGGCCCACTATATCATAACACCATCACAAAATGTGTTTTGATAGTCCATTTATTTCATATATATATTTATATAAAGTTGGTTATAATTAGAAAAGTTTAACTTAAACAAAACTAAAACAATGTATATATTAAAATAGGTTGAGTCACAGCCAAAATGTAGATATGTAAATTGTTGAGAACTATTATTTAGTGCTCAGTTAGGGATTAATTGAAAGGGTGTATTTTCACTCCTTTCTTTCTTTCACACTTCTAACCGCCGGGCTATATATATATATACACACACTTCATTAGAATACAATACATAATCATTTGCATCTATCGACCCCTAACGTACGTTTGTCCCCCGCTGGTTACGGGCAAGAAAGCAAGATGACGTCGATGGCCGGTGATGCAGTTGCACGTCGTCTTGACTGCAAGACCGTCGGCGTCATCTCCACCAACGAGCAAGGCCGGGAAAGTTGGCCGGACAAGACTTCACCATAGAACTTGCCTAGAGAGGAGGAAGAATCGGCCTGCACTCGTGGACAGCGACGGAGCACGGCACAAAATCAAGGGAGGCCAACTTGATAAAAACACAAGTGAAATATATTGACATCAGAAATAAAACCATATATACTATGATAAATTTAACTAATCACATATCAAATAACTACAGAGACTGTCAGACTACTCTTAATCAAGTTATGGACTAAAACTAGCTAGTTATATATATTTATAGTTGAGTCACATTTCACAAAATGCAAGTGACTACAAACTATATTTGAGAATTTTGCTTTGGACAATGGGGGGCCGGAGCCCAGTTTGGCCCCACTGTGCTCCGTCCGTGCTCGTGGAGATCAACGGTGACCCAACTCACACAACAGGAGGCAAATTTATTTGCTTCTACAGGAAATTGATCACCCCATACATGAACAGAAGGTACGAACCTATTGTAGTTGTCATGTATTTTTCACATCGGTGCATTGCGGTTGTGATTGCTGCCGCAACGCATCCACGATTGGGGTGGCTGCTGCCACCATGCAACGACGCCGGTGGTGGTGGACTGGTGGATGCGTCCGTGCCTAGCCCATGGTGGCGCTCGGCACGTGGCGTCGGCTGCGCCTGACTCGCGACCGACGGCCAGACCGCCAGACTATGGACGGCGGAGTCCGGCTGCTCTCCATAGCGGCGACCGCACGACCCTTGCGCCTGTACTCCACGCGTCCTCCGCGCCACGCCAGGCGGCCTCCCGGACCCCTGTGCCCTCTCACTCGCGTAGCCTCCTGTGCGGTGGCCCCACGCGTCCTCCGCGCCCGCAGTAGGCGGCTGGATGCAAGCGCGGCTCCGGCCCTACACGCCGCGGCGGCGGCAGCCGGTCACTCACGGCTAAGGATGAAAATGGAACGGAAATATCTCGAACCGAACCGCATCGTTTTCTATATTTAATCCGATCGACCCATGCATTCCGTTATTCCCGTAACTATGGATTGATTGTCCCTACCTAACTAAATGGTAGTGGTCTAAGGAGCGCAATTGCTAGAGCACGGGAGAATAAAGAGTAATGATTTAAGCAAGAGCAGTCGGACGGACTACTATAGTCAGTCTAGTGACTACTATAGTCTTTTCTTTCTTTGTAGTTAAGTAATAATGTTTGGTATAGCAGCCTTTCCGAGCGAGTCTCTGGGATCTCCTGCAAACCCCCATGATGTGGTAAAGGGAGGATATTAGGGGAAGCAGTGAGTGGAGATTCCCCTGCAGAGAGCCGGATGAGGGGAGACCCTCATGTCCGGTTCAGAGGGCGGGGATATCCCGACCCTACTGTCATTATGCCTTTGCAATGTTACTTGGTTCAACTTCATTTGTGACCTTTTCTCGTATGTGGGACTCTCTATCTTCTTGGGTAGATTCTAGATCGTCTTTCATTTTGTTAGTGAGTAGTTCTCTTATTAATAAGTCAAGTCAAGAATAATAAGAGAACTGTAGGAGCTTGCCAGGACGGCTTGGTAAGCAAGCTACCTGTTATGTAGGCGCCAACTCCCAGTTCTTTCTCTTCTTTCTTTTTTATTTTTTATTCTAGTTTTTTATACTATACGTATAATCACCTTTCCGGGGAAGGGGTAACATAGACGGAGGCACATGTAGACGAATCTGAGACTTTTGAAATCTTTTGCCTAAGCGAAGTAGATAAGTATGAGGAAGAAGTATTTGATTGTCCAAAGATGATCGGTTTCATAAGTCCAGTTGTGCGGAAGCTAGAGTTGCCTTTATTAGTGGATAAGGGTGGGTTAGGCATGACATTCTTAATCGTAGACAAAGGCGCTGCTGCGGAAGAGCTTGATTGCTAACTAATTGCTTGCTTTTAACCAAAGGATCGACTTACACGGCTACTACTTTCCTGAGTACCGCTTGAAATCGTTCCTACTTTCCTTTTAAAAGGTCTTCCTCTCTCTACTAGGATTGACTCGCTTAGAAGTCGAGGGGTCCCATTTCCATTCCTTTGCCAAAGACCCTAACGACAGCTTGAACTACCTCTTTGTCTCATTGATCCGAAAAGAAAGGAAAGAAGAGGATTCACAGGAAGGATAGAGTATATCAAGCGGAGTTCATCGCACAACTCACTCCCTTCGGGAAAAAAGGATTTGAGTGGAAGGTTGAGCGCCCTTAACGTTTAGAAGTATCCTTTTTCAACGGTTAGAAACCTTTCTATTCTAAGACGGCTAAGTCGAGGGCGAACCTAACAGTCACGAAGAGCTAGAGGATATAGAATTCCTATTTACCGGAAGAAAAGCGGAAGGAAACATCGGCTCTTCCGAGATCTTATGTAAGGAATACTATAAAAAGTAGAGCTAAAAGATCTTCTCAACAAGAAATGTCTTTCCCGGAAGACTCTAACTCCTCATAGCATTACGCTAATCCGCAAATATCGAATGATGCTTCGACAGATTCAGGTCATCCATTCACTTTGAAATCGGAGACAAGGAAAACAACTTCATAGAAGCGCCATGGATCAATATAGAGATGCGAACCAATATCCTTTTCCCGGTGGACTCAAGTACTCGTCTTTTGCACAAGGCCTCGTGTCAAATAACATCCAACCACGTCCACGTCCTCCTACCTCGCCCATTTGCTTTGATCATCTACATTTTGCTTCGTGTCGAGCTCTAATCGCCCAAACGTTTTTCTTTCGGAGGGCATTGCTTTGCTTTCTTTCTCTAGTGAGTGGGCTCTTAAAAATGAGCTAAACTCGATAGATTTAAAGGTCAATTTAGGTATTCTTATATGTATCGAGTGATTGTGAAGCGCATTCAACGCTAGAGATATGAACAAGGCTTGTTAGCATTGGCACGTGCATATGTTGGGTATGATATTTACTTTCCAAAGATTTATTGATTTTAGAGGGCGCATCTATCATGCGGGAATACTACACTTTCACGAGCGGACTTTGCTAAATGTCTAATATCTTTTCCTATTGGTAGTGGTGATGTTAAGTTCACGGAAAAGAAGACAAGGAAGAAGCTACTACTTATATGATTGAGCAAGTC